GGGTTTCTTTAACATAATAACCGAGAATGGGGATTTTCAAAACAATGAATAAATTGATAATTGCTAATGTAGTTGTGATAGTGTTTATTTCGCCTTCGTAAATGCTTTAACATTGATTTTAAAACATAAATGGTAAATTTTTGAAATTACGATCTGTGTATATAGTTGGTAGAATCTGTAAATAATAGTTTAATCTGGAATGATGACGTCATAGCACAGACGAGTGCCTAATGACGTAGGTCTTGTGTTGGAATCCAAAATATAAAAGAAATATTTGTGTATTTAATCACAGATATTAGTTCAGTTTGACCTTACCTTTAGGTGGTTATTTAGGACCTTATAAGTTTGTAGTAAATCGGATATTTATTAACCAACAATGTTAAAATATATAAAAGATGTTTAAAGTTGTATCTTTATATTGACAATGTTTATAAAATATTGAGGGAAGATTTTGAAAGACATTGATAAACCTAATTTGATTTTAAAACAGTGAATTTGTTAAAAAATATAGTGTAATCACAAAACAAGGTGCACATTAGCGGACATAGTGTAGTATCAAAGCACTAAGGACGTGTATTTTTCTAATGTAGATTTTGTCAATGGAAATTTATATAAAATCGCTTCGTGTTGATTTGCATACGGCTAGTCAGGTGGGATTGAATATGTCACCGTTAAATCATTGAATTATTCAGTTAGATTGTATTGTCATATAATAAATGCTATTGTATCACAATATTGTGGTTTTATTTTTCTTTTCTGGTATATTAACATAACGCCTTAATTTAATTATTTTTGTGATTTCAACTTGAGTCGTAATTTTTGTAAAAAAATAAATATTGTTCTATTCTATTCTATTTCTTGTTTATGATAAATATTGTTAACTTATATTTTAGTTTGATTTTGAGAGGCTATGTGCACTTATTTTTTATATATGATATAGTTCATACTCGTACATGAAAGACAACGGCAAACGAAATACTAATAAATGTATAATAGATATACAGTTTTCATGTAATAATAAAATTAAAATGCTCTGATGATTCATTTACTTTGTTTATAACACGAATGGAAATTTACCAAATTTTATTATTTTATTTTCTATTGCCAATTATAAAATTTGACCTAGAACCTAGACCTCGTCATGTTTTATTAAAAAAAAGGAAAATTAATCTCAATTTAAATTGATAGATTTATCAATTTCGATTTAGATATCGTAAATTAATTGTGACCTTTATCTGATTCATGGAAAAGTTTTCTGTTTGACTTTTAAATTTGTTTTTGGTCAATAGATAGGGATAGCTACATTTGTATATTTCAACCACATTATTACATCTAAAAATAGAGAAATAAAGTTATTGCTATGCGAGGAACTAAGTATATCTAGACACTAAAACTTTTCTTTTATGTGTTATTTTAACAAAAGTTTAGCAGATTGTAAAACGTGTGATCTTTATTTGGCAAAAAAAATGTATTCATGTTAGTCTGTGTTTCTCTCAGCATTGTCTTTTATTATTAGTTATATCTTAAAAATAATAATTCCATTTCCTTATAAAAAATTTATTGTTAATCACAGGTTAGAGACGTAGTACAAAAACATTAGTACACAACAATATTAAAATAACTCTTAATGGCCGTGTCCGTGACCGTATTCGCTGCCACCGTAACCACCTAATCCACCATGAACACCGAAACCTCCGTTAACGCCTCCTCCAATTCCGCTACCGATGCCGCCGGCGTGGCCACCCTTTATTCCACCTCCAAGACCTCCAGCGTGGCCACCGCCAAATCCTCCAGCGTGGCCACCGCCAATTCCTCCACCGAGACCCCCGGAGTGGCCACCTATTCCGCTACCGAGACCCCCAGCGTGACCACCTATTCCGCTGCCAAAGCCGCTGTCGACACCGTAACTGGATTGTCCATGGAGACCTCCGCCATGTCCGCCTCCGAAGCCACCGCCGACCCCTTGGCCGCCAAAACCGCTATGGCCATGTCCACCCACACCGCCCTCGAGGCCAGAATGACCACCGAGGCCGATGCTAGCGCCGCCATAACCACCGCTGCTGCCCCCGATACCACCGCCGTAGCCTGCAATTTATCTATCTTATGTTATACTGTTCCTATGCCTTTCAACCCTTTGTTAGTTTTGGCTTGGACCTGCATTCCCTGCCATTACGGACTATGCGTGGCAAAACTTACACAATCAATTGCCTAATGAAAGTAATCAGAATAAAAATTTCACAAGCTTATGAAATCCGGAGAGTTTAAATTATTATCTTTGTATTACTACTTAAATTAAAAAGTTTTATACCTGGTCGTGCAGATACTGCGGCTACTAATGCCAGTGCGACAATCTGTAAAATAGAAAAAAATGTAATAAAAAATCAGGGATTTAAATATTCAATTAAAATTAGTACCAGTTTTTTCTTGCCAATAATGTTTACTAAATTTTATCATTTTTCAATTATCAAGACGTAATTCAAAAGTCTAAAATAATATTTGTTTCAATTTCTTTAAAGGAAAATAAATGTATAAATAAAAATGTAAATCTTTTTAAATTCTCTAAATTATTAATTAAATTAAATCCAATCAGCTCGATCCTTTAAATGTTACAAAAAAAATAACTCACCAAGAATTTAGCCATATTGATTTTTAAATTCACAAATTCGTATGAATTAAGACAAAGTACGATCTCGAATGATGTAAATCTAAGGACCTCTCGTTTATATACTGAAGTGCTGAACCGACGATCTCCTAGTAACCTCGAGCGCCGCCGAAATAAAATCACACCTTTATGTTTAATTTTTAATTACATTTTTGTTGTCAAAAAAGATTACATAGTTATATCGTAGTAACAAAAGCCAAGCTAAATAGATATAACGTATTAGGAATATTATGTCATATTTAGGACGCAATATAAACGGAATAAATTCGGTTAAGTATGAGTCCAGCAGATGTCTACATTTCAAGCATCTATCTCTATCAGATTATATTATGTACAAGCTGTTGCCCGTGACTTCGTCCACGCAATATTATGATAAAAAGTAGCCTATAATATGCCCGTATATGTCAGCTACCCTTCAGTGAATGGCGGCCCAGCTGTTTCGGAGATTACCCGGAACAAATGCGGCTTGCGAACAGATAGACAGAGAGACACAATTTTTTTTAATGCGATTTTCGTTATCAGCAACGCAAATATATCATGTCGAAATCTGGATTTCTCTTTTGATATTACAGACACTCCAATTTTATTTTATTTATAGAAGATATCATATCATATTACCAATAGAGTATAGTATTATCTGTGGCTGCAGTATTACCATTTACTTTTCCGCTAATTGTTAAGAAAGTTCATTTCGCCAATCATCATCATCATCATCATCACCAGCTCACTATATGTCCCCACTGAGGGGCTCGGAACCTACCCTTATAAGGTATGACTAGGCCATAGTCAACCACGCTGGCTAATTGAGAGTTGGTTGACTTCACACATATCTTTGAATTTCGCTAATACTGATATTATATTTCGGGGAATCAAAACAGAAATTGCTATTAAAATAAAATGTCAGCCGTGATTCATAATTTACACGCGTTTTAGGTAAGTTAACAATTATAATAATTTTATTTGAATAATTATCCAACGTGACCTTCCATCTCCTTCCTTGAGACCTTACGCTATAGTATATGAAAACGATTTTTTTAGCCATTGTTAGATTTTATCAAATCAAAAGTATAAGGGTAAGAAAAAAGTATTTTGAGGTTTGAATTTATTAGAAAAATATATTTATTAGTTTACTAGCTGTTGCCCGCGACTTCGTCCGCGAGGTGTTAGAAAATATACGAACTATATAAATAACAAAAAGCTACGTATCCATCGGAAACCGGTCATTTCTCGGGGATGAACCTTATCCCATGTGTACTCCAGACTTTGTTTTATAACTCTGCCAAATTTCAATAAGATATGTTGAACCGTTGCAGAATGATTGAGTAAACATTAAAAAACTAAATTAATGAATCCCACGGGAACCGTAACTATTCCCGGGATAAAAAGTAGCCTATGTGTTCTTCCAGACTATGCACTAAACCTGTGCCAAATTTCATGGAGATCCGTTCAGCCGTTTAGGCTACAAACGCTAACAAACATCCATCCATCCATCGTAACTTTCGCATTTATCATATTTATATGATATGATTGTAATAGGCTATATTTACTTGATTCCATAAATAAATTATTAGGAAAAAAGCATGAGTTCAGAGTTGCTGTGAACCGTATCGTTTATTCAACCGTACCAAAAGAATATAGCAAAAAAACATTCGATAATCTTGACGTTGTTTCGTTAGTTATACTTCGTGTGATCAATTCTCTTTGTGGTTTTGTTTGTTTTAGTACAGCATAGCAACTGACATGCTTTTTAACGTTTAGAGGGAACTTTTATGATGTTGCATAACCTTGAACTCAGATCTATGACAAATTAGCAAAGGAAAAAAGTTATTTACCTGAGCGACCGGTTTTCTTCCGATTCAACAGTAATTAAGCATTTAAATATAATAAGAAAACAAAAGCGACATGTTTTGATGCAGAATAAATTGTTAATAAATTGTTTGTACACCGTAGTTTTCGTCTCCTCTTCTAATTCATAGAAATAGAAATAGAAATAGAAATAGAAATAGGCAATACCGTCGTTGAGGAAGTGGCAGTTGAAGTGGCAGCACCCACCCCCATAAGGCATGAAAAATATGTGGTGCCGTAGAAGTCTCGCTTAGGACGCTGGTAACACAACGCTAATATAGATGAAGAGGCTAGAACTAGAATAAAATTGAATTTTCCTAAGACGCCACACCGATCAGAGACATCCCTACTACACGACGATGTTCTGTGTGATCTTGGATGCGGGGACTCTACCTAAAAAATAAATTTAATTTATTTTTTTCAAATATGACTGTAACTCTAAGGTAATTTTTTTCCACAATAATCTACTGCGTATCGCCGATATAATTGGTGTCATTTTCGAAGTAAGTAGCCGAATTCGTGATTCACTTGGGGTTTTTTCCAATCTCGTACAATGAATCAAATTTGCGAGAAATAATTGTTTCATACAAAAAATGTGTTATTTCTTTAATGAAACAACATTGGCACTTACGTACCATAGACAACCGGTTACGGCAAAATATTGTTTATGCAAAAGTGTTATACTCCGGGACCGAAAACATGCGGCGAAATTATAACAATTCAACAATTCAAACAATTATACCTTTATAAATGTTTATAAGGCTTATTAAAATTATACATGTATAAATATATTTTCTGATTTCCATTTATTTCGACCACAGAGATTTATATAACGATACCTGAAACAGAATCGTCAATAAATTTGTTTTTCCATTTCAATCTGTGTGTCACAACAGAAACACCTAGGAGCAGGTCGATGGTAAAGGGAGGGGGACAGGCCTTATTGGCCAGCGGGGGGTATAAGTAAAAATACTTTTTTTTTATTCCAAAGACAATGTTTTTGAAAAACTTGAATTATCAACATGTGTCCCTAGGATAGGCACCTTAGTATTTTGATTCAATTAATATATCTTTTTATAATTTTCGATTCTCGTAAGGCGTCACCAGGAGGGCCGGGGAGAGCAGATGCCCATCTTAACTTAACGCCTAAGATAACCTTTGATTTACAATACTTTATCATTCGTTCTCTTTGAAAATTTTAGACAATGATCCCTCGATGGTTTTTTTTTTACATTATACAGTTACAACAATATATGTATTATAATACGTTAATATGATTATTGTGACAGACTCATTTTTTATAAGACATCGATTACTGCACAGTCCTTTGCAGACATAAAACTTTCTTCAAGCAGTTATATCTGGATGTCTTAACTAATTGTCAACAATGTTAATTGAGAGAAAGATTCAACCTTGGGGACATTTCGTAAACTTTCAAACGTTATAATTGTAGATTTAGTAAGCTTAACTTAACTCTTATTTTTGTGTCCTTGAAATTTGAAAGTGTAATTATGGTACACTTTCATTGTACCGTTGTTTTACCTGGTATGTATCATTCACTCGCCTGTTAGGCATTATAATCCACCTTAGCAATTGTTACTTTGAAATTTTTAGTATAATCCATTTAATAGAAATGTAAAAAAATAATGTTGCAGTCAAAATATTACCTGCATATCTTAAGGTGTTAAAAAGTAACCTAAAGGTGTTACGGTACGGACCAGACTCTCAAGATAACTGGCAAGTTAATAAAATTACAAGTAAATGAAACAACTTATTTCACTGTTTTGGCCAACACATTGGGACAATGACTGATATTTTACTTATCACATTCATTTTTAATGTTTCTTTCTTACAGTTCAAATTCTTATGTACTATGCAACATTTTTGTACCTTAACATAATTCTATTATCTAATAATGTTCATGGGCTCCGTGGCTTTCTTCACCACTGTCTCCGAAGTCTTCACCACTGTATCCTGTGTTGTGACCGAAATAACCGCCGTGTTCGTATCCATGTCCATGTCCGTGGTCGAATCCGTGACCAGAACCGTGTCCGTGTCCGTGTCCATGACTCGATCCTTTTTCGAATCCATGCTCCGATACTTGTTTGAATCCATGTTCGGAGCCGTGACCGAAGCTGTGGGCTGAATGACCGGTGCTGGTGCCGTGAGTTGATTCGTGACCGGTTCCGTAACTATGGCTGTCTTTTTCTACACCGCTGCCGTGCCCAACTCCTGCCGCAGCTGCAGCTTTGTGGGCAGCACCTCTGGACATCATGACTCCTATACTAGTTCCGCTGTGACCGGTGGTTCCGTGTCCATGACCCAATCCGCTAGGTTTACGGTGGCCGGCTTTTGCGAGCGCCAACCCTACGCTGGTGCCAGTATTGTAAAGGCTTTGTACCTTTGCTGTACCAAGCCCCGCACTGGTAGCTGCGTGCTCAGTGCCGACGCCGACGCCGTTGCTAGCTTGACCAACGCCCACTTCACCGGCGCCATGTTCTTGTTCCGTACCGGCATGTTCTGCTGTAGTACCACCATGTTCCCCTGTAGTACTAGCATGTTCCTGTACTGCGCCGGCAACGTGTCCCACTCCGTAGCCGACGTGCCAGTTCACTTGTCCCTCATGCTTATTGCCGTATTCCTCGTGGCTGATATCTGAGTCTTCACTACTATGTACACTTCCGTATCCTGGAAAAATTGACCAGTTATGTAACGTTCAAGTATGCATAAAAATAAGATCATAGGGTTAGAGATAATCTCCCAACGTAGTATTAGAATACGTTTTAAAAACGAAAAATGAAAAGATTTAAAAGACCAATCGTTTGAAATCGATACTACAGTTCACGTGTTGTATTTCAATAAGTGCCTTGCTTGATTGATTAACACCATTACAATATATTATTATGATTAATAAAAATCTGTATAATATATAGATCATAATCATGATAATATATTATTATAACAAATCTATGAAGCTATTAGCAGGAGAGGTCATTTGGGGTTTGGCTGTCAAACCAAACATATTGTATTGAAAGAAAGGGTGTGTCCTTTACAAATTATTGTTATAAATTAAAATATTATATAATATAAATAATATAGTTATAATGATAAATTGAAATACAATCTAAATTTCATCTTTATTAGAGTTTTTTGTACTTTTTATGTTGACAAAAATGTGGTCTAAAGAAACTGTTGTAAGGGCAATAAATAAAATTCTATTTGGCTAACCGCACTGTGAAAATTGGATCTTATAAATTAATTGTTTTGTACTGAGTTAACTCGAAAGGGAATAATTAAAAAACTCACCTGGTCGAGCCACAGCCACCGAAATTATTGCTAATGTTACTATCTGTAAAATAAAATAAAAACAGTTTATAAATAATAACAAACGATGTATTTAAAATTTATGGCGGAAAAATGAGATTAACTTACCAGAAATTTAGCCATTTTATATTTTAAAAAATAACGTATGAAGTTGACGATGACCTAACTACGAGTAATCCCGAGCCTATTGCCCCTCGTCTTATATAGAGAAGATGCTGAAAATGCGTCCGTATCACTTGACCGTATGCGCTGTGGATTTTTATAGTGATATTGACAACAATCCATGTTGCAGTTAATATTGAAACTCTGCGATAATTTTTATTGCCATTTATTTTATTCCGTAACGTATCGGATGAATACTCGTACTGTTTTCGTATCTGCTGGTCACTTATTGATCGAAATTCATTCATAATTCAATATTAAAATTTTCGAATAAAAATAGTCAATGACTTTTACCGAGTCTAATTTCATGCGCTTGTGAAAAAGCGGTACAAAATTTTCGCTTCACGTTGGAATGATATACATATTTACAATTGTAAGGGCCTCTCACACCAAATTGTAAATTGTCTCATGTTAATGAAAATATTAATATTAAATATTTTTAAACTATCTGTGCCTCTATCAGCCAGTGGTGGGCCCTAGATATAAAATAGTCTACTTTTGTGAACTATTTGCCAAAATAGCATTAAATAACAAAGTTTATTTAAACTCAATTTTAAGTTAAATAATTTAAAATACTATCTAACGACATTGTTTTGTTTTGATTATTTTAGAATTGGATTTTGTGTATTTTACTCGTATTGTAATGTAATAAAATTATATGACAGACTTCCCAAAAGAATGAGGTAGTTCAATTCGTCTGTATATTTGTTTTGTGATAAAATTTCAAGTTTCACTGCGACATGAAGAGTTGACAATTGCGTACGCTACACGGAGGCAGGTTATCGTATATTTAAAAACAAGATGCTGTGAGAACTGGTTCGTTGTTTTTTATTTTACTAAGAAGATAAATCAAATGAAAGCCGGTTTTTATACAGCATTGGGGTTTTATAGGACAATTTTCCTCAAGTCCTCGGGATAGTCACTTGCGTCAATCCCCACGATCAGAACACAATATCTCATTTGAGGTTATTTTTAACGTTTTGGACGAATGTAGAGTCGGTTATTTTATTATTTATTGTGTGCTATCATTTAGTTGCCAAGCGTAGTTTAAGATGATAAGAAAAAAGGGAAAGCCAACTTTGATGGCACGAATTTTATTCCGATTTAATTTAACGCAAAACGTAAGCTGAAAGAACCTTAGCATTACCTTATGGGACATTAAGGGCATTTGGGATAATTCCAACTACTAGTTATGTTTTTTCAGGTTATACTTCACTAGCTTTCTCCCGCGACTCCGTTCGCGTGAAATTAAAAAGTAATATAAAACACAGCCTATGTTAATGACAACGTAGCTTTATAATGGTGAAAGTATTGTTGAAATCAACCCAGTAGTTTTTGAGTTATTTCATTATAATGAAAAAAACAAAGTTTTTTTCTTTATAGTATTAGAATGATACACAGTTTTTTTATGTCATCATTACAACATCAACATTTTTCCTAGTAGTTATTTCATTCCTGATGCCTGTCGTTGGGATAACCACTATGACCTGCAAATTAATTTTCGTTCGTCCAAGGGAAACACAAAATACTTTAAGTTATAGAGGTTTTAAGTTATCAAGGGTCTATGTTGTAGAGGTTTTGGGCTCTGATGGGAAGGGAACATATTATTTTTTGAAGTTATAGAGGTTTTTATGTTATCGAGGTTCTACTGTATTACATTCTCCGTGAAAATAATCATCGGATGACTGTAGTCTCATAGTTTACATTTTGCACACAATAAATCATTTGCATTATAATATCAGTTTATAAATTATTAATGTTATAATTAATTTGCATGTAAATGTGTCATCTCTACTGGTTGCTGGTTTCCCCAAGATAATATACATTTCCCCAATTAAACAAAACAATTGGTATTTCCTAACAATTTTATTTAAAAACTCGTCTCCGATGATGTCTTTATAATCACAATATTATTCTATGTATTATAAATAGGTTATATGTATAATAAATTATATACCACTTGAACATAAAATAATCTGTTATATTAGACAAAGAGATTTAAAGATGGTACCTACATCTATGTACATATTTTTAAGCATTCTTCCTTCTAATAAATGTCATTTTACGCAATACAAAAGTTTAGATGGATGTTTGTTAGAGTTTGTAGCCTAAACGGCTGAACGGATCTCAATGAAATTTGGCATAGACGTAGAGCATAGTCTGGAAGGACACATACTCACTTTTGATTTTTTAATTCCACGTGGACACAGTCGCGGAAGAAAGTTATTTACAAATAAATCTTAACTAGATGAACGGACTAAATAGTTCTTATAGGGCTCAATATGCGGCTGTTGTTTTAAATCTATTAAAATGCTTTCCTTTGCAATACGATTATTACTACATCTATTGGTACCTGTCTAATAAGTTTATACACGTAAGAAACGTAGATTATAAAAAATAACAAATTATTGGAAAAAAAAAAACACAACAGGGAATAAATAATAATAATATTAATTTGTACTTAAAGTAAAGTAAACCTAAATCAGATGTACATATTTATGAACTAATGATTCCATTGTTTTCGATTTGACGTTTTCATAGCATTTCTCCGTATATTCTGTTGAGGATAATATGGGAAATAGGACCCTAGTTTTCTGTTATAAATCAAGTACGGAGGTAAGCTGTTTGATGCTTTAGGCGACCAGTTTCTTTCGTATGCACCGGAGGACCTTGGTTGATTTGAGTTTTTATATTGCTGTCTGTGGTCGTAGACTTCGTTCGACATGCCATTTCTATAATTGTAGGTATTTTTAGTTGCCGCTACCACAATATTAAATAACACTGCCGACAGGATTATCTGGAATACAAAAAAAAAAATTAAACTAAACACAACACTATCTTAGTTTCCTTATACGAGTATAGTATTGTTAAAATAGGCAGGTTTTCGAGTCGTCGAATGGAAAAAACGACAATTTATGTTACAAATTCAGAAGTATTAGGTTACCTGAATGTAATATTTATTTAGACAACGGAACGAATAAAACTGGTCGTCCGTAATAGTATACTAAATATTTATATAACTACTTTTTCTCTAAAACCCCGTTTGCAAATATCATTGTTTTCCGTGAAACTTTGGGACGTTGGGAAACCCTTATTGGTTTATCGATATTATACAAGTTTTTAGGAGAATAACTACTTACCTTAAGCAAGAAGAGTTTAACGGCCTCCATTGCTCACATAAAATCACAAGCAATCAGAAAATGAAACATTATCATATAAAAGACGTATATGTCTTCAGTGAAATGCAACAGTAAGCTGAACTTGTTCCCGATCTTTACATTTATATTGCTAGTGTATAAACGGTTTACTTTTTTCGGAACAAAGTATAATGGAGGCGACTAGTTATATATTTTTTTAAACCTTACTAATATTATAAATGCGAAAGTTTGTAGCCTAAAGGGCTAAACGGGTCTCGATAAAAATTGACATAGACGTAGAGGATAGTCTGAAAGAACACATAGGCTACCTTTTGTTTTTATTTTTCAATTCCACGCGGACGGAGTCGCGGGCGATAGCTGGTAGTACATAAATTATATTAAAGGCAGGATGTTAATTAATTAACATATTCTTGACTATTGGGGATTTTACGTTTTAGAGCATTTATGAGCAGGTATTTTCCTTAACTACTTTCGTACGTGTTATATTTGAAAAAACCTGTGCAAAGTTGAAATTGTTTGGGTTTATGAATTAATTCTTGCCCGTTGCCTTGGATTATAGGCGATGGAATAAAATTGATGGAAACTTAACGACGGCATAAACTGAGTAGGTTATTAGAATACTGAAATTTGAAAACACGGCAAATAAATTTAAGACCGTGTAGACTACTCCATAGTTTTCTGTCATCTTTATGTAGGGCGAAAAAATTAGAGCTTATTTGAACGTTTATGTTTGTGACAGTAACATCATTTCTATCGCTTTTTACCTTAGCAATGTCAATGCAGAGCCTACTGGATAGATAGATGCCGGGTATTTATAAAATTCTCTAGGCACATATTATGTTAAATATATAAATATGGGTTCAATAGATACATCCATTGGGATTTTATATCCATATACGAGTATAGAAGTGAACTTAGTAACTAATTTGTATTAGTTACTTGTATTCTAAACATAATAAAATGTCTGTAATATCAAAAGAAAAATTCCAGATTTCGGAAAGATGATGTATTTGCGTTGCTAATAAAATCTCGTTTAATTTTTTTTTTGTCACTGTCTGTTTGCAAGCTATGTTTGTTCCGGGTGATCTCCGAAACGTCTGGACCGATTTCGACCGGACCTTCACTGAAAGGTAGCTGACATAGACGGGCATATTATAGGCTGTTTTTTGATCTTAATAGTGCGTGGATAAAGTAGCGGTCAACAGCTAGTTAGATAATAATTATGAATTACATACTTATGACACGGATAATAAAATATGATGTGTTTTTTTTTAATTGCAAAAACCAGCGCTTGAGTACTATCCCATCTGGACCAAGGTGAAGATGTGGTCGAAGAATGGTACGCGTGTGTGAATTCAAGATGTTGAATCAAGAAGGAAGTTGATTGTATTTTGTTACTTTTGCATGCAAATTACAATAAACATCAAGGTTAATAACTGCAATACAAACAAGATAATGTTATCAATAGAAAAACAAAGAATTCTCTCATTCCCAGTGCAGCTGAGTCATTGCTCCGTGGCCTATTCAACTCGGGTAATGTGACAGCTATGTTTGTTTGTTAGTTCATCTCCGCTAACAGTTTAACGGTATGGGTAAACTATGAGTAAATATTGTAATTCTAGTCTAATTTAGATGTAGGACCAGAAAGAGATGGGTAGATTGCATGACTGAGATGACGGAATTAGATTAACCCGGAGGACGAAAGCTGGTGGTTTGGTGAGCCGACAGAATCATGATGTATTCTATAATAATCTAAATTTTGATTTGTTAGAACATAACTTAGAAACTCGAGTTAATTTGTCGGTTTAATCCAAATTGAAACAATTGACAGGTGTTTTATGAGACCCTGATAGGAAACTTCGTGGGAAAACAAACGTGTGAGAGAAATAATTCAATAATGTCGACACAACATTGTTGGAAAAGGATTGTACTTAACTTAGAAACTACGAGTACTTGATATAGTTAGGCTAATTTACTTTCATTGAATATATTTAATAGCCTTATTGGTCTACATTAAAAACGCCTTTTAACTTACATTCGCAATTCTTTGTTTAGAGGTCTATCGATTATCGCTCTTTAAAGAAGTTAGTATTTATTTTACCGAGATACAAAATAAATAACTTAGTTGCAGTTTGGTTATTGTGGAATATAATTAAATTTATTATTCATTATTTCCTTATCTAAAATAAGACAAACAAAAAACGCCTGATATATTTTATCGGCAATTTTTTAAAATGGAAATGTACTAAAATAGAACTACCGATAAGATCTAATTCCACCTACTGCAGGTTATCAATAGTGTAGAGAACTGCAAATCTTCATCTTAAACGCTTTCCATCGTAACAATTCTACAATATCCACTGAGTTGATCATCGGCTGCTTAAACTTAGTATATCCTATTCGTACGATGTACAACATTTTGTTTTGCAAAAGTAACTTAGGTTTCTGTAGTAAATTACTAAACTTACCTGCAGGCTTTTGTTTACTTTTCTGTTTTTTTTAATTCCCATTATTACATACCATTCTCTTGCGATCTCAAAAAGGCATACGTAATTTACTACGTTCGAAAATGGTTGAGTAATCTATTGCGTTGGTCTTGTAACGCGGACCCCACCCGGTCTTGAGCTCTTAGACTTGTGCTTGTGATGATCAAACACTGAAAGAATATCAATTCGTTAAGTTCTCTCGTGTAACTCTTACGAAGGTGAAAAGTGTCCGTGTGTGTTAACCTCTTTTAAAGTGACTTTGATCGTTGAAGTATCTAATTAGAGGCTAAGCAAAGGTATTTCCGATTTGTTGAATGAATATTCCATATTAAATTGTATTGTAATAATTTATAGTTTTACTTTTTATCTCATATTTAAAGTTGTGGTGGTAGGTGGTGATGGTGTCGCTGGGGTGATGAGTGTTGGTGCAGATTTTAAATGATGCGACCGTTATTCTTCAACCAATTTATTCACACCAAAAACACTTAATCCACAACACAATATATATAATAAAAAGAAGTAGAAGGAGAGTGCAACACGTTATAAGTAGAAGAAGAGAAGAAACACAATAATAATAAGCTGGGATAACAAGAGCGATAATTAACAGTGGTCAGCGCGGGCACAGTTTGAAAGCGACTGTTAATTAACCGCGCGCGCCGCTCGGTCAATGACCCCGGTCAGCTGTGCAGTCGCGAATTTAAATGCACCAATGACAGGTCACAAAAATAGATGCGTTGCACTATATTTCGACCACTCGTCGTGCACCGTGTTTAGATGTGTGAGTGATTGTACGTGTTATGTAAGTGTGTATGTGTGCTGTGTATGAATGTCAAGTGTAACTGTGGAGTGTTTTCGTAAAATGTATCAGGTTCCCTACAAAGTAATAATAGTAAGGTTGCCTATTGGTTCATTCGTTAATGTCTGGCTTCAACGAAGTGACTTCTGGGTTCTTTTCTGCGCCAAAGCTTGTTTATAAGTTTGCAAAAAAATACTTTTGTATATGAAATAAAAAAAAATGACATTTAATCCTTAGCAACACAACACAATTAGAAATAATAACAGAAAAACAAAACAAAAAACATGCTAATATTATTAAGAGGATTTTTTTTTATATTATGAATGTACTCAAAAACGATTGGATCGGTTACAATATTTCTTACTGGATTGTTTAGTCCTATCTTATTTATCTTATCTGTCCTAACTTTTTGCTATCAAAACTTTACAGATACCTTTCTAATGGTGAAATAATTTTAAAATTGGCCCAGTAGTTTTTACGTGAATCTAAACATACAAATCCAAAAATACAGATCTTTCCTCTTAATAATCTTAAATAAATAATAACTGGTAGTTATAGATTTATAAATACGCGAAAAAATCAGTCTTTCATTTTTTTCCGCAACATGGTCAATTTATTTATGTTTCTGGTCAAGCTAAACTTTTTTCAAATAGAAAATCAACATGAAAAGACGCGACATTTACTACTAATGTTTTGCAATATGTTGTGTTATTGTTATTTAGTTAATTAATTTAGATTTTTTACAGGAAACATGGAGTTCAGGGTTGCCATTATTTTGGTAAGTAGCAATATATTCCGTTGTATTCCATTATTATTATTTCAAGATGATCATGAATGAAGAATTTTGTAACATATTTACGCAACTACCCTTAAAGGTCAGTTAATAAAAATACCGTTATCCGCGCATGTCGAAATCCGGATAACATAAATATTTAAGTGTTGGTTGGGACATTCATAGATTGATACAAATTGAGAAATGCGTTAGTAATTTCGCATATTTAAATATATTAATACATCTTTTGTACGTTGTTGCTAACTTTGCCATCACCCACCTTATATTATAAATATGTGTCAATTTTAAAAATTTAATAAAAATACGTTTTATGTATATATATATGTTAAAAATTGGAACGTGGTAGTAACTCTCGCCGTTAACATAAATAATGTAATCATCAGTATTTTGAAATCAGCTCAGCTCGACCATCACTTGAGAAGTTTAAGATATGAACATGATATAACTAAAATGATTATATTTGTTGGACAAACGAAGTCTTTCATCATACGTCTGACTCATGAGTAGATTTTCATGCCGACTGACCCATTGCTGGAGGCTTCTATTTGCTTGACACACATGTTAGCTCTCGTGTAATTTTTGTCCGGCGCATGCTAGATTAGAGATTCCAAAACCTTTTTTCCTCATAGCCCTCTTACAAAATTACTGCTTTCAATAATATCCCTGATGCTACACTTCTTCAACTTGTGAACCCCTAATTTTTTCCCTCATTGTGTAGCCCCTAGGTCTTATGTGACCCCCCAAGTAACAGCCTTTATCACTAAGGAGGTAGGAAGGGACGAGTAATAAATATAGAAATTCTCGAGCGTACTGTTACACCCCCTTGATTGCATAGTACAGACATTAACCCTTTTCTTGCCCACTCAGCATATACATACTCCATGTATACCGCTTTCCGATACCTGACCCACCAGTCTTATCCCAGCATCCAAACAACCCTGACTGTTGTCATATTAAATCTTATATGCCTTTAAAAAAATGTTTTTTATTCCGAGGCTCGTAACACTACACACCTTAAATCATTAAGCATAATAATTACTAAACAGTTAATGAATTATTCATTTACGCTTACTGTGAAATACTACTTTAAATTCCTTAATTTGAAAGTTTGAAGGCGGCTTGTAAGTTAAATGTAGTAGCAATATATAGCATATAATAAACTAACCTAGAAACCTTTTTTCAAGGTCGAATTTCAAGACCATTTAAAATCGAAAGAAAAAGCTACAATAACGTAATATTTACGTGTTTCAGGTTGCATGCATATCGTGCTTGGTGCCGAGCGTGAGGCCGGTGCCGGTGGTAAAGGTGGCAGCCGTGGGAGGAGCCCTAGGGGCCGTCAAGGGCGCCATCAAGGGGGCTGCTGCCGCGGGCGCCGGAGCCCTACTTTTCAAGAAAGTCACAACCGCTCTGAAAGGCGCTCTAGCAGCTAAAGGAGCCTTTCTTAAAGGTAATAAACTCTTAATTTTAATAGTTATTCACCTCTACCAATCAAATCAAATCCACCACTGGATGAAGTTCACACAAATTACATAACTAGACATAGGCACGATGCTTGATGCCGGATGCCAATTGTATTCATTTAGAGAGATGCAAAGGAAAAGTTGTATTGAAGGGAATGTGGTTATACGGGAAAGGGAAATTAGGTACAAATTAAAAAGTAAGTTATAATTGCTATCTGTATTCTGTGTAACATTTTAGGCGTGGCATTAAAAACTGCAGCCCATGGCGTGTCATTCGGCGCGGGCGCAGCGCTCGGTGCTGCGGTGGTCGCGCACAAACCGCACGCTGAATACGAGACTTACATCGAACAACCACATGTAAGTATTGATTTTAACCACGAAGTCAATATAACTTGACAAATGATGCATATTTGAAGAGTTAACTTGTGGTGGCTTTAAAAGAGCAAAGCGAACAATTACTCTTTAATACTGTCATGTTTACTTCTAAGAATACGTTCATTAAAGTGATTATCGCACTGTAATCTATTTGACACATAGGCATATAAATATAAACGCTAAACAGTAGCTTTTAAAACAGTGATAACAATCTATACTATTATAATAAAGCATAAACATATACTTATTTGTTGCCTAAGATGACAGCAATTACAGCATATTTTTGAATAATTCTAAAAAAGCCCTGCACGTGCGTTACGCTTTAGGCTATATATTTTCACGCCATTAAACTTAGGGGATAAATATTTTTGGTACAAACCCTAATGTGGGAATGAGACCATAAGTTGCTTCCAACATCGAGAAAGAAAGATTGCTAAGGTTTGCTACTGGTAATTTGACAAATGTAAACAATAAAATAAAATTTTCATAATTTCATGCGGATGAACCCGCACGGGAACATCTAGTATTAGTTAATATTGGATTGAATACATATTTGGAATGATTTTTTTGAAACTTGACGCATCGTTAATTTATTAAATAGTCTGGTATATGTTATCACTCATCTTGTTATGATTTTGCCAAACCTTATCTCGTATTATTTGTTCCGAGACTTCTAGATACGTAAGCCAGGTCGGCGCCCTCGTATGAACTATTCCACAAATTTCTTACGATAAATGTTGAGGAAAAATAAATAAAAGCGTATGACAAGAAATATTAACGATAAAGATAACAGACAGAAAATTAACTCTGATATTATCTCTATGATTTTATTATTATCAGGATTGATACAAACCGTACCGTAATATCTACTTTTAACTTGCCCTCAGTAATTTAAGGTCCCTCTTAAAATTAAGACTTCAGTGGTTAATAAAGTTGCGTAATTTTTATATTTATAGGTTCCGCACATCGACAATGGCTACTACTACGAGCCGCATTCTGTCGAAACTCCACTTGAACCGATATATCACCAAGAATCCCATGTTCCTTCATATCATGAGCCCATCCACCACGAGTATGTATAACATTTCATAAGTTTCCATTATCGATACTTTGACAAATACTTAGTCATAGTGAAGGGGTACAGCAGTCTAGAAAGAGATGGATGGACTCTAGGGCGGATCCAGTTTTGACGCCAGGGGGGCTCACATAGTCGTGGTAAAGTTAAAAACTTGACGTGGTCAGCTCATGGAGGGGGGGGGGGGTGTCATGACCCCCATGACCCACCCTGGATCCACCGTTGGATGGACTGCGTGAAAGGTGCGATAACGACTGAGATGACGGAAGTAGAATGATGATGTTGAAATATTTAAACTAAAATGTATCATTATCTAGGTTTTTTTAGAGTATAAATGACAGACATATCTGTAAACCTTTTTTTTTATTTTACCCTATTTCCAGGTATCCCCCGTTACAACTGTACCATCAAGAATCTTACCCTGGATCACATTATAGGTGAAAAATTGTGAATTGTGTTTGTTTTCGTTAGAATTATAAAGTGTATATATGTAAACAATTAACACTAAGCCATATTAAAATGTTAAGAAAGAATTTATGTTTATTTATTAATCATACTAATATTATAAATGCCAAAGCTTAGATGGATGGATGAACGGCTGGAAGGATCTCCATGAAATTTGGCACAGATTTAGAGCATAGTCTGAAAGAAAACATAGGCTACTTTTTATCCCGGGAATAGTTACGGTTCCCGTGGGATTCATTAATTTAGTTTTTTAATGTTTACTCGATCATTCTGCAACGGTTCAACATATCTTATTGAAATTTGGCACAGATATAAAACAAAATCTAGAGTACACATGGAATAAGCTTCATCCCCGAGAAATGTCCGGTTCCCGAGGGATACGTAGCTTTTTATAGTTTATATAGTTTGTATGTTTTCTAATACCACGCGGACGAAGTCGTGGGCAACAGCTCGTCCTATATATTGTACAAATTGTAGCATATGGTGTAATGTAAAATAATTGTATTAAAAGTATGGTAATTACTATTATCTAAACATGTACACAAAATCTGAAGTCAAGAAAAATTTTGAAATAGACGGTAAATTTAAAATGCCTATTGGAAGTAAATAGCAGATATGAACTCATAGTTATTTTTGCTATTAAGTAATAGCGCCTACAAAATTTTACTACAGGTTTGGCCGTTTTTTGAAATCATAGGTTCTTAATTTATAATCAATAACCTATAGTTACTTTAAAATATCACTGTAAAATTTTCAGGAAATAGTGAAACATTGTAATGGACATCGTGTATGGAATTTGACATTCCCTGTTCACTTAATTTCGTCGTTGGATTGCATACTTATTATTGAATAATGTAATATAAACGACACGCAATTACCGGTGTAACGTATAAATTCTTTTTTTAAGTGGTAGGCGTAATAGGACACGTCCAACATGCAGTTTTCTCATAGTATATTATGAAAATTTATGTTAAAGTAGGTCGGTTTACAAATGCAGATTTACATTAAACAAATCCTTTGTACATACATGATGCATTTATTTGTATGTTTTGTTTTTTTTTTGATCAAACTAAGCGTTGATATGAGGATTTGATATATTTCTTAAAGGGTATTTTAGTTTCTAATACGCCGTTCGATAGAAGACAACTTGTGTTCTAACTCTAGCTTTGACTTCTTTCCAGTGGGCAGAAAGCAGATAAGTCAATCTATACTATCTATACTATTATAATAAAGCGTAAACACACACTTGTTTGTTGCCTAAGATGTCAGCAATTACAGCATATTTTTGAATAATTCTTTTTTTAATAAAAAAACCCTACACTTACTTCACGCTTTAGGCTATATATTTTCACGCTATTAAACTTAGTTGGTAAATAAATTGGATAAAGATCCTAATGTGGGAAATAGACCATAAGTAGCTGCCAACATCAAGGAAGCAAGATAGCCGTGGATTGTCATCATGTCGTGTCATTTTGACAAATGATAAATTGACAAATGTAAACGATAAAATGAAGTTTTTATAAATACCTGCGGATGAAGCCGCATGGGAACAGCTAGTTATTTATAAAAAAATGACAAATCTAATTATAAGTGCTTAAACTAAGAAGAGACGATTAACGAGAGATATGTTATTGAAGGTCCAACTATGACTAGTGCGATCTTTGCTTTAATTGCTCATTGAATATTCGACAGTAGAATTTTCAAAGATGAAGATTCCGCTTTCATTTTGCGAAGGCCATGATTAGCGCGAAGGGATGTGAACTATTGTCGGATGCGAATGTGGTTTCTGTTCCGACCGCGGCGCCGGCCCAGCCCGTGCGGCCGATTCTTACACCGGTTAATCATATTCAAATAGGACGCCCGTTTAGAATTGTTAATTGATTGTAATAATTTTTCAGCGTGGTATAAAAGCGCTTACATGCACGATAAAGGCATAATTGAAAACAGTTTTACCCAGTGCACATCGCAGGTAGCCGAACAAACGCCGAAGACATGTCTCGACTTACGGTTAGAATATTTTCAATGGTGAAATTAAAAAGTTACATGAGATATTTCATCATATCCTCATTTATGTTTTCATAATGAGTTGAAAATATCCTGATTTAATATTTTATTTCCAGATTTTCTTTATCCTTGCCGTGACGTATGAAGTTTTTGGGGACGGTAAGTGCGAGGAGATAATGCCATTCATTACTGTTAGATGTTTATTTGTACTGAATTGTATATCTATACATTTGTTTCTGGTGCAGCTAAAGGCGCCAAAGACTCCAGCGGTGCTGCGTCCGGGGTGTACTCTAGCGTGCTCGGTGGCGGCATCGGCGGCCTAGGTGGCGGCTTGGGCGGCCTTGGTGGTCTGG